ACACACACACACACACACACACACACCAGACACACGTCAGCAGCGTCTTACGTCAGCGGCGGCACTGAACGCGGATCCACAACAGAACCGGAATACACACACACACACACACACACCAGACACACGTCAGCAGCGTCTTACGTCAGCAGCGGCACTGAACGCGGATCCACAACAGAACCCGAATACACACACACACACACACACACACACACCAGACACACGTCAGCAGCGTCTTACGTCAGCGGCGGCACTGAACGCGGATCCACAACAGAACCGGAATACACACACACACACACACACACCAGACACACGTCAGCAGCGTCTTACGTCAGCAGCGGCACTGAACGCGGATCCACAACAGAACCGGAATACACACACACACACACACACACCAGACACACGTCAGCAGCGTCTTACGTCAGCGGCGGCACTGAACGCGGATCCACAACAGAACCAGAATACACACACACACACACACACACACCAGACACACGTCAGCAGCGTCTTACGTCACACACACACACACACACACACACACACACACACACACACCAGACACACGTCAGCAGCGTCTTACGTCAGCGGCGGCACTGAACGCGGATCCACAACAGAACCAGAATACACACACACACACACACACCAGACACACGTCAGCAGCGTCTTACGTCACACACACACACACACACCAGACACACGTCAGCAGCGTCTTACGTCAGCGGCGGCACTGAACGCGGATCCACAACAGAACCAGAATACACACACACACACACACACACACACCAGACACACGTCAGCAGCGTCTTACGTCACACACACACACACACACCAGACACACGTCAGCAGCGTCTTACGTCACACACACACACACACACCAGACACACGTCAGCAGCGTCTTACGTCACACACACACACACACACCAGACACACGTCAGCAGCGTCTTACGTCAGCGGCGGCACTGAACGCGGATCCACAACAGAACCAGAATACACACACACACACACACACACACCAGACACACGTCAGCAGCGTCTTACGTCACACACACACACACACACACACACACACACCAGACACACGTGCCTATAGACTTATGCCTATAGATGCCTCTTCTAGTTTTGAGGCACAGCTCCTAAAAATTGAGCTAAATGGCCCCCTACTTTGTGTTTTAGTGTATAGACCTCCCAAAGTCAATACAAACTTTATTCACGAGTTTTCTGAATTTCTGTCAAATCAAGTGTCTCGCTGTGACAGACTGTTGGTACTGGGGGATTTCAACATCCATGTCTGCTGCCCATCCAAACCGATGGTTAAAAACTTTTTGAACCTTATGGACTCACTTAATTTTGTACAGTCTGTCTCCAGGCCAACACATATTTTAGGCCATACACTGGACCTTGTTTTGTCTCGTGGTTTCTCTGTACAAGTCTGTGAAGTATTTGATACTGGCATTTCTGATCATTTCCCTGTGGTGTTTGAGCCTGTTATTTCATATACTCAGCCTAATCTCTCTCGTCCTGTACACTATTCTCGTGTTTTTCATTCAACTACTGCTCTCGAATTCTCTGAATCTTATTCCAAAATACTTTCAAATTCCAATGCTTGTCTGTCACCTTGTATGGATACTGAAAAACTGGTTGAAACTTTCACATCCGTCTGTTGTACTGCTCTAAACACAGTTGCTCCACTTAAGCGCAAGAAGTGTAAGGTCAGATCTAATCCTCAGCCCTGGTTAAATGCATCTACACGTACTCTCAGACAAGAGTGCAGGAGGGCCGAGCGCAGGTGGAAAAGGGATGGGCTTCAAGTGTCCTACCAAATTTTGAAATCTCACTTAACAGTCTATCAACACTCTGTTAGTGAGGAAAAATCCAAATATTTCTCAAACTTGATTGCAAAAAATGCCAATAGGCCAAAAGTTCTGTTCAAAACTATACATTCGGTTCTTAATCCTGTGGGTTGTTCAGTTCCTGATGTGAATCTTGAGATGTGCACACAATTTTCTGAATTTTTTGTTCAGAAAATACAGGATATTAGATTACGCCTCTCTCCTCTTTACATAGATCATTCTGACCTGGTCCTTACATCCAGTCGTTTTTCAAACTTTCAACCAGTGTCTTCATCCCAATTACTTAACATTATCTCTCAGATGAAATTCACATTCTGTCAATCAGATGTATTGCCTGGACGTCTTTTCAGTGAAGTTTTAGACACAATCTGCCCCATCCTCTTAGCTATAATAAATAGCTCTTTAATAAACGGGGTTTTCCCAGAAAGTTTTAAACACGCTATCGTACAGCCCCTATTGAAAGGACATCACCTTGACCACACTGTGCATAACAACTACCGGCCTATCTCTAAACTGCCTTTTATTTCAAAGATTTTGGAAAAAGCTGCACTGTTACAGTTTACCTCTTATCTGAATACTTTTAATATTTTAGATCCATTTCAATCTGGTTTTAGAGCGCTGCATAGCACTGAGTCAGCACTGCTGAAGGTTACAAACGACATTCTATTGTCTACCGATTCTGGGTCTTCTGTTGTCCTGATACTTTTAGATCTGAGTGCTGCATTTGACACCATTGATCATAATATTTTACTGAGACGACTGGAGTATATTGTTGGAGTGGAGGGCCCTGCTTTACAGTGGTTCGCCTCATATTTGCAGGGGAGGACCTTCTCTGTAAATATTGGGTCATTCACTTCACCCTCTGCGCCGATCCAGTGTGGCGTTCCACAGGGATCCATTCTTGGCCCCCTTTTGTTTTCCCTCTACATGTTACCTTTAGGCTCAATATTCAAAAAATATAACATAAATTATCACTGTTACGCCGACGACCTCCAATTATATCTCCCAATCAAATCAGGAAATGACTTTTCATTAGACAACCTCTTTACATGCCTTAACGAAGTCAAGACCTGGATGACAAATAACTCACTGCAACTGAATGAAAATAAAACCGAAGTGCTTTTACTGGGTCCTGCTGCTACCAACAACTCCATTAAAACACAGTTAGGTCCTTTAAGTAATAACTTACACAATCATGCAAAAAATCTTGGAGTCTTTTTTGACCCTCTTCTCCAATTTGATAAGCACGTAAATGCAGTTGTAAAGAGTAGCTTTTTTCAACTACGATCTATAGCAAAAGTGAAAAACTTTCTATCTAGTAAAGACCTTGAAATTGTGATTCATGCGCTAATTTCCTCTCGATTGGACTACTGCAATTCTCTGTATATTGGCCTACCTCAAACTACACTGTCTCGGTTACAAATGGTTCAAAATTCAGCAGCCAGATTGTTGACAGGAGCTAGGAAAAGGGATCACATCTCCCCTGTTCTTGCCTCATTGCATTGGCTACCAATAACATTTAGAGTCGATTTTAAGATCCTTATTTTTGCATACAAGGCCCTACATAGTTCGGCACCAGATTATATTTGTGATCTTATTAGGCCATACACAGCCTCTAGGTCACTAAGATCTTGTGATCAGTCACTCTTATCTGTCCCACGCTCTCGGTGTAAATCAAAAGGTGACCGAGCTTTCTCTGTAGTTGCCCCCAAGCTCTGGAACAATTTACCTTTAACTATTAGGACCTCTCCATCTCTGGTTGCTTTTAAATCCAGCTTAAAGACCCATTTTTACTCTCTCGCATTTGAGTAAATTTTAAATAATTTGGTGTTCTACGTTATGTATGTGCTGTTTGTATAAACTGAATGGTTTGATCCTTCATTTTATCTATTTTTTGCCTTTTGTCTACTACTTTTTCTTTTCTCTTTTTATTCTTCTATTTTATTTTTATTATACTGTAAAGCACTTTGGATCAACTACGGTTGTGTTAAACTTGTGCTATATAAATAAACCTTGACTTGACTTGACTTGACACGTCAGCAGCGTCTTACGTCAGCGGCGGCACTGAACGCGGATCCACAACAGAACCAGAATACACACACACACACACACACACACCAGACACACGTCAGCAGCGTCTTACGTCACACACACACACACACACACACACACACACACACACACACCAGACACACGTCAGCAGCGTCTTACGTCAGCGGCGGCACTGAACGCGGATCCACAACAGAACCAGAATACACACACACACACACACACACACACACCAGACACACGTCAGCAGCGTCTTACGTCACACACACACACACACACACACACACACACACACACCAGACACACGTCAGCAGCGGCACTGAACGCGGATCCACAACAGAACCGGAATACACACACACACACACACACACACACACACCAGACACACGTCAGCGGCGGCACTGAACGCGGATCCACAACAGAACCGGAAGACAATACAATGCTGAATAAAGTCGTAGTTTTTGTTATTTTTGGACCAAAATGTATTTTCGATGCTTCAACACACTCTAACTAACCCACTGATGTCACATGGACTACTTTGATGATGTCTTTATTTCCTTTCTGGACAAGGACAGTATACCGTACACACATTTACAATGGAGGGACAAAAAGCTCTCGGACTAAATCTAAAATATCTTAAACTGTGTCCCGAAGATGAACGGAGGTCTGACGGGCTTGGGACGACATGAGGGCGAGTCATTAAGGACATAATTTTCATTTTTGGGTGAACTAACCCTTTAAGTCTCAAATTTGGCTGTCTTATTAAACTTAACTGTCTACAAAAATAGCTTGTTTTCTAAGTTTGTAGACTCGCAGTATCATGAGTAGTATGAGAATTTTGTGTCCCTTAACAATTAAAAACAATTTCATGGCACATAAGTTTCCGCTGAGAGCACTGAATGTTCAGATTGTCTAAGTTACTCTACATCTTGTTTGGAGAAGAGAGAATGTGCGCTTTGTGTCACTGAAAACAATGATACACTCTTGTTAGAAGATTTCTGCTTTGGGAAGGAATCTAAGAATAGAGCATTACAAACACAGGAAGAGCTGACGAACACACACATGTTTGTTTACGTGTGTGTGTGTGTGTGTGTGTGTGTGCAGGCATGGAGGAGGATTTGTCTTGGCTTCACCGGAGGAAAAAGCGAGCTGTAAGAGTTTGAGCTGATGGACACAGGCCACACAGGGATCCAGAGCACAACACTGTCAATGCAAACCTACACACATCCCATAATGTCAAACAGATAGATTCAGACTCAGAGACTTAAGAACACAAAGGGTACATCCCAATCCGCATAAAGGCCATACTAGATCGTATTCATGCATTTCACACATTAGTAAAGTAAAAACAGTTTGACACTGGTGTCTGGATGGGAGGCTTTTAAACACATGAACATAAAACATTAAGTAGATAATTATGAAATCATTCAAAATGCATCAAAATACTGACTTTTATGCTAGTGCAAACAATATTTGATGCAATTTTATTAACTAGTATAGAAGTATTTCCCAATAATTAATTGTTCAAAATGTTTGAAATGTCAACAGGTGCATCAGTGTAGCTACTTTCTATTTTTATTGATTAAAAGAAAATCAATTTTACCTGTGATGACAAAATCCTATTTTTAAAGGTCAAAGTTTATTTATATAGCACCTTTTAACAGCACGAATCTTGACCAAAGTGCTTCACACAAGTAAATTAAAAATACACACAGTAAAACAGAACATTTCAAAAATTCAAACCTAAAAAATCTTTAAAAAAAACAGAATATTTATAATAAGTAAAAGAAGTCAAACCTGGCAACATCACAAACACTGCAACCCCATAGCATTAAAGAAATAATTAATACTTTTATTCTGCAAGGATGCATTAAATTGACCAAAAGACACAGTAAAGGTTAATAATGTTACAAAGATTACTAATGAACTCTCTGTTCATCAAAGAATCGTGGAAAATATTTTTTTTATCATGCTTTCCACAAATATCTGAAGTAGCACAACAGTTTTCAACATTGATAATAATCATAACTGTTTCTTGAGCATCAGATCATCACATTAGAGTGATTTCTGAAGGATCATGTGACACTGAAGACTGGAGTAATGATGCTGAACATTCAGCTTTGATCACAGGAATAAATTACACTTTAAATGATTTAAATTGTAATAATATTTCACAATTGTGCAAAAATATTTTCTGTATTTTTGATCAAATAAATGCAGCCTTGGTGAGCACAAGAGACTTCTTTTAAAAATATAAAATAATCTTACCAACCCCAAACTTTTGAAATGTGCTTTCCCATCACCAGAAAAGAGCATGTTTTCACTAGGCAAAAAAGGAGTTTGTTTTTGAGGCCATGAATTTAATTATGTTGTTGCAGATGTAAATTGGGATCCATCCAAAAACTTTGATCCAGAACAGGGCACATTCCTTATCCATAAATGTAACCGCAGCACATTGTGAGAGTTTGTAATGTCTGAAAGTGTTTACAGTAGCATTGATGCAGAAGCTGAGCCATGTGTGTGTTCTCCTCCTCCAGATCCCGAGGAACCTGTTTGAGGAGATGAAGTACATCGAGCTGATGATCGTCGTCGACCACAACATGGTGTGTTTGAATGCTGTTTGAATATTATAGTGTGTGACTGTCTTTGCCACATGATTTCTGTTGTGAAGAGGCACAATTTAGCAGTACTTTTAAAAAGAGAATGGGAAAAAATATGAAAAATGATATGATCAGTAAGCCTTGTGTTTTTCCATGTTCCACTTTAACTCATCAAAATAATTTGACCAATTTTATCTTACGTTTTTAACTAGTTTTTTAAGTAGATTTAATTAAAAAAAAACAATAGTTGAAATGACTTGAACAGCCAATTTGATTATACTTACAAATCTAAGTAGAATTAGATGAATTTTTTTTTACAATGTATTTGAAAAGAAGATACTTAAAGGTCATGGGCGTTGGAAGCAAAAAAAAGTGTGTGTGTGTGTGTCCTCCCCCAGAAAAATGTTACTGGAGTAAATGCCATTTTATGTATTCTGGTGCCTTTTAATTAAACAAGTAAACTAAACTCCGCTTCACGTTATGCATTAATTGCACAGCTATCCGTGGATTATCCCGCTGCTGATATCATGGGCATTTGCCAGCATTGACAACTTAAAGCTGTTATTGATGTTTGCAACGCAATATTTGACTGAAGGGTACAAGGGCGGTTATTTTCATCAGTTGCGACTCGTTGAGAAACATAATGTAGCGATGTAGCGTTTATTAGGGCATTCCTCAAGTGGAGTGGATTTGACTGACGGCGCTCTGAAAAGTGAACAGACATATGCACTGAATTAGAGTATAGCTGGTGTTTTTAATATGCTTTAAGACAAACCATGTGCAAATTCATAAGTTATGATTCAATTCCATTGCTGAGTAGCCTGGTCCCACCAGACTCTCGTAGATTTCATTTGTACAGAGAGTCTGGCCTCGCTCCATTGACAAGCGTTAACTTCCTTGTAGGCGGGTCCTCTGTTGAAGTTTAAAACTATTGGATCTGCCCAGAGCCACTCTGGATCTGCCTTAACCAATCGCTGACGTTTGGTCGTGACATATGGCAACTCAAACTAGCGCACAACATCAACGTCAACGTTCTCAGCCACTCCCTCTGTTCGCTGATTGGACCGGTAAAATATTGACCGGAGAAAACCAAAGAATACACCACAAACCCAGACGTAGTACTGAGGGAAAATGAAAATTGAGCGGAAGTACGTAGGAGGGCGGAGCCAGGCTAATTGTGGAGTATTTTCTCCTTAAAACTGCAGTGAACCAAAGACAGTCTCAAACACACGGTTTGAAATCGCTGGTGTTTCTGACGTCACAAACGACCTTGTAACCAATCAGATCAACGTGTGATCGTCAACCAGTGGATCTCTGAGCTGGAGGCGGGGCTCATTTGCATATTCATAGAACCTCGTATACTAAAGAGGCAAGGGTGTCGAGTTACATTCAAGATATTTTAAGGCAAGAAGGAAAAAAACATTTAAATATGACATTTTGGTGATCAAAGGTGAGTTTTAATGTATAAAATTACTGATTACAGGGGGACTTTAATATAATAAGTAGTTTTTAAATAAATAAACTTAAGATTTGAAGTACATTCAATACATTTAAGCACTTTTCTTTTTCACAAGGATTAGAGGGTAGAGTTGGTGTTAGGGATAGGCAGTTGACTATTGTTTAAACTGAATGTGTGTATGTAGTCTTGAGTAAATCTGTGCCCATCTGGTGGTGTCCACTGGAGGGCGCTCTGCTTCTTTACAGAGTTTGTTCTCCACACTAATTCTATTGCAGTGAATGCAGTATTAGTGTTGAGTTTGAGAGTTTGTTTGATGCTTTTATAATCAGGTTATAACTATATCAATATTATCCCACAGTTTAAGAGACTGGGGACCAAGCAGCGCACACTCAACTTTGCCAAATCTGTGGTCAACCTGGTGGATGCTGTGAGTTTTTGAATTATTGATCACTTTTCAGTGAATAGTTTGTGTTAATGATCAATTCAACAACCCATACAGCTGAATTTCAGAAACCCATAATGATGAGAAATGCCAATTCCGATTTAAATTACACAAAAAAGCATATTATATGTACATATTATATGGAAAGATGTTGTTCATTTCCTTCTCTCTGTCTAATGGAAGAGTTTTAAAGATCACCTGTACACGCGTGTGGTCCTGGTCGCCCTAGAGATCTGGACGGAAAAGGATCATATTCCCATTAGTGTGATTCCGTTCGATATGCTGCGAAACTTTTCCAAATACCGACAGCAACACATCAGGAAGCACGCAGACGCGGTGCATCTGTTCTCGTGAGTTCGTGTTTGTGCATAACTGCTTACACACGTGCAGAAATGACCTGTGCATAACGGAGCGTCGGTGTGTGTGTGCAGGAACGTGACGTTTCACTATCCTCGCGGCTGCGCGGCGTATTTTGGAGGGATGTGTTCTGTGAGTCACGGGGTCGGAGTCGTTGAGGTGAGTGAGCACATGATCATGTAGATTGACTGACTCACAGCAAACATCCACAGTGAGGAGCTGAACTCATCTAAGACTGCATCAAAATGAAGTTTTCTTCATAGTAGCGAATATTACAGCTGGTTTTACACACCAATCTAACTCTTAGTTTGAACTGAACTGAGTTTGCAATCGAGGGTACAAAATAATTATTTCAATGTTTTTGAAAGAAGTCTTTTATGCCCAAAAAAGGCTGAATTTATTTGATACAGTAAATACAGTAAAAAGAGAAATATTTAGAAATTACAATTTAAAATAGTTGTTTTCAATCTGAGTATATGTTAAAGTGTAATTTATTCCTGTGATCAAAGCTGAATTTTCAGCATCATTACTCCAGTCTTCAGTGTCACATGATCTTTCAGAAATCACTGTAATATGATGATCTGATGATCAAGAAACATTTATGATTATTATCAATGTTGAAAACAGTTGTGCTGCTTCATATTTCTGTGGAAACTGATCTTTTTTCATGATTATTTGATGAATAGAAGGTTCAAAAGAACTGCATTTATTTGAAATAGAAATCTTTTGTAACGTGTCAAAATGTGTCTCTTTATTGTAACTTTTGACCAATTTAAAGGGGTGATGAACTGAGAAATCAAATTTTCCTTGAGCTTTTGACATCTAAGAGGTCATCGTATTATAAGAATATCCTGTAAGTTTCAGAACTGAAAACGTCCTTGTTAGTCCAATAAAAGCTTTTATTGACACCAGGCTCGGCAAACGACTCGTTTTACAAAGTGGGGAACTATGACGACAAAGAGGATAAAACACCACCCCCGCAGAAGAAGATCAACGCCTACTTCAACACGGACGGTTAAGCCCCGCCCACCGATTCGCGCATTACACGAAACTCATTATAATATGCAAAACTGTTATCCACTCACAGCAGTGGGCGTTTACTTCCAAGTCTTCAATGCGAGACGCCCATAAAAACCAAGCGTTTTTGAGCTAGGCTCAAAACTAGGGTTGAAAATAGCCTTTTACCTATTCATTTTGATGTTTTTGAATGTAAAAACCAAGCGAACGTCATAAGTTGACCTCAGACAACAATATAAAAAAAATTAAAAAGCCAGTTCATGACCCCTTTAATGCATCCTTGTTGAATAAAACGATTGATTTGTTTTGATTAGGACAAAATGTCTCCACATAGGTGGCAATATCCCAAATACTTGTCCTCGTGGGACATCCCTTGGTCAGCTTATAAATCATACTAAGTGATGTTTTTGAAAATGTAAAAATGCAGAAAGTTTTATGTTATGGGTAAGTTTAGTTGTCACGATGCCCATGATGACCACCAGAGGGCACTCCACCCCCGACAATAACAGACTCCATCCCCCATAATCCTTTGCCCAGACTAATCAGCCATGATTACATCCACCTGTGTGTCATTACCTTGTTTAGCTCACCCTATATAAGCCTGGTTTTCTCATTCATTCCATGCAAAGTCTTGTTTAGTGTAATTTGGAACATTCTCCTGGTTTTCTGTATCTTTTAGTTTGTATCTTCTGTCCGGTTTTCTTGGTTTCCTCTGTTTTTGCCTGTGACCCTGTTATTGTTTGGACTGGTTACACCCAGTGTTTATGACTTTGCCTGTTTTTGACTACGATTGTGGATTTGGATCCTCAGCCTTTGTCTCGGAGCAGTTTTGTTACATTAGGGGAGAGAATATACAGTTAGTACAGTATACAAATAATTATATGAAAACCCAACATGTCTTTCTCTGTGTGTGTGTGTGATGAATGTGCAGTATGGCTCTACGCGGACATTGGCACTCGTGCTGTCCCAGAGTTTGGCTCAGAATCTTGGCATTCAGTGGGATACAACATCAATAAAAAGTACACACTCTTTCTCATAATCTTGCTCAATTTTTTATTGATTTTTAGATTACATAACAAAGCTGACATAATATGACAGCACAAACTTACTCTGATACTGAGATATCACATATTGAGCATTAACTCGCTGTGTGTGTGTTCTGTTTTATCAGATGATTGTGGGTGCATGAACTCCTGGCTCGGCTGCATCATGGAGGACAATGGGTGAGATACTCCACACAAACACATTTTGTGATATATGACAAGTCTTCATAATCAATATACAATGTACTCATTAAACTCCTGTGATATGTTTAGATCATTTAGAAAGCTGTTTAGTTCTGACATCACTTTATAAACACTGGCACTGTCATGACCTACACACAAACACCATCAAAACATACAATAATTCAACAATCAAAGTGCCCCTATTATGCTATTTTAAAGGCTCTTAATTTTGTTTTGGAGTCTCCTGCAACTGGTTTTAATTTTAAAGTCAAGAAACTTTTTTTCATAACACGCGTTACTTCCGCATTCCAAAGTTCCTATGGCGGTCTATGGGAGTGTCGCAACTCTTTCTCTCTATGGCTCTGGAAACGGTGTGCACCGGTGTGCAACGGGGTTTGAGATGCGTTTTCTCTTGTTTGGTGGGTGTGTCAGAACTGCAGTCCAATCAGCAGCAACATGTATATAAAGCACACGGTATTAAAGAGAACTCGCACAATGGAAGTACTTTACAAATGTGTTCGATACGCAACAACTAAGGATATCAGAAGACATGTTTGTCGTAAGTATTATTGTAAAAATATAGGATATCAACATAATGATGTAGTTGTTTATATTTTTAGCTTCATTGCAAGTGTGTGACATTTGGTATAGAAATAAACAATGCATGTAAAGTGCTTTTCCTAAAAATGAGAAAGAAAATACAGGGTATTAATAAAACATTATGAACAACAAGAATGTGAGGTTAAATAGATGTGTTTTAGTCTTTATTAGGTAAGATGTGTGCTTCCATTTCAGTTTCCACAAATCCCTTCACTCGACTGGGATGTTCTCTTGTGTTCTGGGCGGCAAGTGCAGTAACTGTAACATCGGGCATATTTTGTAGCATTAAACACATATTTATACCGACTTCATTAGGCTCCGAAAATTCTTCACAAAGAACACAAAAACCTTCTCAGCTGCCGTAGTTGCAACTCTTGCGTCATCACAACAGTGCGTTCAACGCATCACCGTTTCTGTTTAAAAAACGTTCTGCAACGTTTTGTCGGCGCTGAACGCAGCCCTGTTGTGATTGGTCTACTCTGCTCTGATTGGTCAGATGACCCAGTCTGTTGTGATTGGTCTACTCTGCTCTGATTGGTCAGATGACCCAGTCTGTTGTGATTGGTCTACTCTGCTCTGATTGGTCAGATGACCCAGTCTGTTGTGATTGGTCTACTCTGCTCTGATTGGTCAGATGACCCAGTCTGTTGTGATTGGTCTACTCTGCTCTGATTGGTCAGATGACCCAGTCTGTTGTGATTGGTCTACTCTGCTCTGATTGGTCAGATGACCCAGTCTGTTGTGATTGGTCTACTCTGCTCTGATTGGTCAGATGACCCAGTCTGTTGTGATTGGTCTACTCTGCTCTGATTGGTCAGATGACCCAGTCTGTTGTGATTGGTCTACTCTGCTCTGATTGGTCAGATGACCCAGTCTGTTGTGATTGGTCTACTCTGCTCTGATTGGTCAGATGCTCCAGTCTGTTGTGATTGGTCTACTCTGCTCTGATTGGTCAGATGACCCAGTCTGTTGTGATTGGTCTACTCTGCTCTGATTGGTCAGATGACCCAGTCTGTTGTGATTGGTCTACTCTGCTCTGATTGGTCAGATGACCCAGTCTGTTGTGATTGGTCTACTCTGCTCTGATTGGTCAGATGACCCAGTCTGTTGTGATTGGTCTACTCTGCTCTGATTGGTCAGATGACCCAGTCTGTTGTGATTGGTCTACTCTGCTCTGATTGGTCAGATGACCCAGTCTGTTGTGATTGGTCTACTCTGCTCTGATTGGTCAGATGACCCAGTCTGTTGTGATTGGTCTACTCTGCTCTGATTGGTCAGATGCTCCAGTCTGTTGTGATTGGTCTACTCTGCTCTGATTGGTCAGATGACCCAGTCTGTTGTGATTGGTCTACTCTGCTCTGATTGGTCAGATGACCCAGTCTGTTGTGATTGGTCTACTCTGCTCTGATTGGTCAGATGACCCAGTCTGTTGTGATTGGTCTACTCTGCTCTGATTGGTCAGATGACCCAGTCTGTTGTGATTGGTCTACTCTGCTCTGATTGGTCAGATGCTCCAGTCTGTTGTGATTGGTCTACTCTGCACTGATTGGTCCAGTCTGTTGTGATTGGTCTACTCTGCTCTGATTGGTCAGATGGCCCAGTCTGTTGTGATTGGTCTACTCTGCTCTGATTGGTCAGATGGTCCAGTCTGTTGTGTTTGGTCTACTCTGCTCTGATTGGTCAGACGGCCCAGTCTGTTGTGATTGGTCTACTCTGCTCTGATTGGTCAGATGGCCCAGTCTGTTGTGATTGGTCAACTGCGTCATCTCGGAAATCAAGCGCCCATCCTAATTTCAGCTCTTGATACACAGTTACACGAACAGTAACGATGGCGTGGGTTTTACCGTATCAATCTCATCACAGTGGATTTGCTTTGTCAGCAGAAAACAGCGTCGACATGAACAACAAGAAACAAACTCTTCCCGTCTCAGATCAACTACAGTGTTTGAGGGTCAAAGTAGACGTTGTTCACCAACAGCCAATGAAGATCATAGACCGGCATTATGCAAATGTGCAAATACAAATACAAACCTTTAAATCTTTAAAACTTTAAAGCCCTTTCTCATTCACACACAGGCATATCACAAACTGCATGAAAGGTTGTATTCGAAAAAGCATAATAGGGCACTTTAAGACATACACTCATTAATATCAACTCACCTGTTACCACACATGCACACAAGCTATAAAAACACACAATTGTTATTTATTGTGTATATATAATAAATTCAATTATTTTCTATTCATTTAATAAATGTTTTCAAATAACATGCATCTCAATGGGTCTGTCAGTGGGAGTAAATTGTTGCGAAACCGTTCTTCATCTCTTTCTCTCTACTCAGGATTCAGCTCACACGGATCTTCTCTAAGTGCAGTATCACTGGTTTTAAAGAGTTCCTGTTGAAGGGAGGGGGATCCTGCCTCTTTAACAAACCCACCAAGGTCAGGCATCATTAACATCATCAGAATGTATCCAAAAATAAGAAACAGCATGAGAAAGTATGAGGAGACAGACCGCCCCACCTTTCATTTAAATATGTCTAGGTCATCTCATCTGTGACATGCTGCGCATTACCACAGAAATTGTTTTCTGTAATAACACATATCTCGGTTTGTATAAACAAATGAATATGATGTTTATATGGTGAGGTATTCCAGAGATGTTAAAGCAGAAACCGTATTAAAAGTTTAAAAGCAAACGCTCTTTCACTCTTCCATTTGTCCTGTTGTTGACAGACTCCAGCGCATGGGGTGTCAGAAACTAAACTATAGCATCTGGATACCGTACCACTGTAGACAGCGTCAGGCATTATAATGGATTCTGTTTGCTTTTGACTGCGAAGCGACACTCGCAACTACGTCTACTTATTCTACTTACCTGTGTCCTAACACCTAACCTAACAGTCTACTGATACTAGGGTGGGCATTTTTCTAAAATATTGCATAAAAATCGAATATTCATTTATTTAAATGACGTTTAACGAAAAAGACATTATTTATTAAGTTTAAGGTTACAAAACGTTTTTTGACAGCATTTCTGAACAAGCTTATGATTAGGCAATATACACAACAAGCTTAAAATATATCTTACGGTTTTCTTTTAGTTGAAAACATTAAACAATATGAGTAAACAACAAATATAAAGAACAAAAGCATTTAAGCTCAAGCAGGCTAACAGAGAGAAAAAAAACGCTAATAAAGCAGGTCACGCCAGTTATCGTACTGGCCGAGTCAGAATATGGTTATCATGTTTATATTGTTTCACGTTCATGCTCAGAAAACAATAATATCCACATGCTCGAGTGAGAGACAAAGATAACGGTGTTCTAAGCGAAGTTTCTAACAGCACTTTGCGTTTTCTCCCTCAACCAAATGTAAAGGAAACATGTTTCAAAATCATTTAGCTATAAGATAAGTTATCATCTGGGATATACCTGCAGTTGTGATGCAGTGACGGACAGCTGTCTTTCCTCAGTCGACTGGTGTTTGGATGTGATTTCTCATGGTGGTGATATTATGATACCTCAGATTCATTCATTAATTTGATCAAAAGTAATTCCATTTTGTAAGATATTTTAGTAAGATAATTTTCATCTGAGTAGCCTAATTCCAAACTTCGTGAGGCAGACGACAACATTATGTGATCAAATATAAACTTGTTAAACACACTCCACAGTGCCACCCAATGCAATGAATTATAACTGCGAGTTAGTGAGTAACTTAGTAAAATTTGAGTAGTATTTTATTTTTCAAATAATAATCAGAATAATCAATAATAAGAAGAATATTCGTGCACATCCCTTACTGATACACTAATTGATAGTTGACACTTGCAACGTAAAGTGTGACCCAGTTTTAAAAAATATATATTTTTAAGATTTGAAGTAGATTACAAGTGCACTTTCAATTACAATTAAAGAGAAACCCCAAAATGATGAAAATTCGTCCATTATCTGCTCATCCTCGTGTCGTTTGCATGTATGTCCTGCAGCTGTTTGAAGAGACAGAGTGTGGAAATGGATATGTAGAAGTGGGAGAGGAGTGTGACTGTGGACCAAGAGAAGTGAGTTTATGTGATACTCAGACAGCACATATATGGTAAATTATATAAGCTCACTACAGTGTCACAGCAGTATTCAGCTGTTATATGTGTCTTCTCTCTCTGTGTGTGTGTGTGTGTGTGTGTGTGTCATAGGAGTGCATTAAAGAGTGCTGTAAGAAGTGTTCTCTGTCTAACGGTGCACACTGCAGCGATGGACCCTGCTGCAATAAAACATGTCTGGTGAGAGTCAATCACACTGTAAAAAATGATCAGTTGACTTAACTTAAAAAAGTGAGGGAACCCGTTGCCTTAAAATGATTAAAGGGTTAGTTCACCCAAAAATGAAAATGCTGTCATTAATGACTCACCCTCATGTCGTCCCAAGCCCGTCAGACCTCCGTTCATCTTCAGAACACAGTTTAAGATATTTTAGATTTAGTCCGAGAGCTTTCTGTCCCTCCATTGAAAATGTATGTCCGGTATACTGTCCTTGTCCAGAAAGGAAATAAAGACATCATCAAAGTAGTCCATGTGACATCAGTGGGTTAGTTAGAGTGTGTTGAAGCATCGAAATACATTTTGGTCCAAAAATAACAAAAACTATGACTTTATTCAGCATTGTATTGCCTTCCGGTTCTGTTGTGAATCTTTAAGTAAATACATTTCATGTAATTGAAAAAATTAAGTTGTGACCTTAACAATTCCAGATAACTTTTTCAATTACGCATTTGTGTCACCATTCTGTTCAGTTTAGGGTACGTTTACACGACAACGATATGCTTAAAACGGAGAAGTTTTCCCTTTGAGTTTTCCGCGTACAGACGACACCAGTGTCAAAACGAGCCCCATTCACACTGATACGCAAAAACGACTAAAAACGCTGTATTCTGCTGCCAGGCCGTTAGATGGCGATGAAACACGTCATGACGTCATCGTCTTCAGAGATTTGCGTTTTTGTTGTTTACACGGAGACCGTTTTCAAAAACGTGCACTTTGAAACCCGTTTTCAAAAGTTTGCGTTTTCAGGCGCGCACAACGCTGTTGTCGTGTAAACGAACGACCAAAGCGGATAAAAAGTTTTACGTTTTTAGTTGAAAACGGTGTCATGTAAACAGCCCCGCTAGTTTAGTTTTCATGGACTTTCAGGTTGTTTTGATTTGTCATGAGTCTTCGTCCTGATTATCGTCACTCATCATCAGTATCCTTGGTTACTGTCATTATTAGTTCATCCGTGTAAGCTGTGTTAGTTTAATCATCTTGTTTGAGTTTGTTTATATATAGGTCACCTTATCCTGCACTCTTTGTCCGGTATCGTTAACACTATAGTGTGTGTTTGTATTTTCTGTGTGGATCGCTAACCTGTTGGATTATTATAAGTAAAGTTACCCGTTTGAATCTTCATCTTCTGTGTCTACATCTTCCTATCTGCACGCATCTGTTACAGAAGAAAGTTTATTTACTTAAAGGTGCACTATGTAACTTTTCTACTAAAATGAATCCTTTTTTTATTGCCTGTGTGTGAAGGGGTTGTAATTACACATTAAAATGATCCACTTGTCGAGTTTTGCTATTACCTCTGAAGGCCAGTATTCCTATTTCTATGTGAAGTCTCCGGGTCGGATTTACCGCGAAATCCAAAGGATGTGACGTGCACGCGCGCTCCCGAGCCTCTCTCCTTATATACAGTCTATTGTAGACGGTCAGGGAGTTACGTCCGGTTAAAGGCGCACGTTTTTCGGCTTATATCTCAGTCAATCTTTGATCAATATTCCCAAGACTCTAATCGTTCGTAGTGCTGGACGGGGCCTTTCGAACGAGCCCACCCCCGAGGTCCAACTCGCCCGGCTCCCCGAGTTATAGCCGTTCGAAATCGGGGGTCCCAGCGAACGGCGATCCGGTAGGGGGCATCCCCGAGGCCCGCCACTCTAGTTCGGGCAAGGGTTCCCCTGGGACCTCCTCCCCCGAATTTGAGCTCTCTGGGTCTTTGCGTTCCAGAGATACGAGCGATTTTCTTCTGAGATCGTGACGTCACCGGCGTCGGCAATTTTGCAGCGCGCCCGATGGTTTTCTGCTAATATCTCTGCGAAAACACCACCAAAAACTATGGGACTTATATGGTTCTTTTCAGCTCGACTAGATGGTCCCAACGAGCTCGGTGCTCGCCGAATCCGTCTAGTATTCCGCGAGATATTTGCGTAATAGACGGTATTGTCTATGAGTTCGAGCACGAGCGCTCTTGTAAAATTTGGTTGCAATCTGAAACATCACCACTAGAGGCCGCTAAAAGTTACATAGAGCACCTTTAATCATTTTAAGGCAACGAGTTTAACACTTCTGTTAAAATTATAATCAAGCGACTTTACATGTGCGTTAGTATGTTAGTCAACACGTCAAAATAAGTGTACTTCTATAAAGCACGACAAATTATTATTAAAACATAATGAATTAAAAAACCATGCGTGCTCATTCAATACAGTTAAGCACAGGTAATCTTTACAAGAGGTGTGTCTCGTGTCTCTCTCTGTCTCAGTTCTACCCGCGAGGCTACACCTGCCGCTATGCAGTGAATGACTGTGATATTTCAGAGACGTGCTCTGGAGACTCAGGCCAGGTCAGTGACATATCAGCACGAGTCCAAACACATACAACAGTCTGATTATGCATGTCTTTATTTAACCTTTCTTTGCATCTCTGTGTGTGTGTGTGTGTGTGCAGTGCCCTCCCAATCTACACAAGCAGGACGGCTACTTCTGCTCTCTCGAACAGGTACACACACCACAAAAACTGCTACTCTACTGAAACAGGGTTATTTATTAGCGGTTGGCCAATGAGGGTTTTTTATTTAAAGTCCCCCTGTAGTCCTTTAAAACTCATCTTTGATCACTAAAATGACATATTTAAATGTTTTTTCCATGAAAAAAAGTATTCATGCCTTCATCAATTCTTCAAATCGCTTGAATGTAACTCGACACCCTCGCCTCATTTAGTATACGCGGTTCTATGAATATGCAAATGAGCCCCGCCTCCACTCACTCACTCAGCTCAGAGATCCACTGGTTGACGATCACACGTTGATCTGATTGGTTACAAGGTCGTTTGTGACGTCAGAAACACCAGCGATTTCAAACCGTGTTTTTGAGACTGTCTTTGGTTCACTGCAGTTTTAAGGAGAAAATACTCAGCAATGCTGTCGACTTATGAATTTGCACATGGTTTGTCTTAAAGCATATTAAAAACACCACATACACATATAAACATCTGCATTTTCATCACAGGGGGACTTTAAATGGCCAGTGACAGTATCAAGAAAGCAGGGTAGGGAATGACCAGGCTGGAATTTGTTGTAATCTTAAAGAGCTTCTGATATAAATTTCTTTACAAAACTCATTTTAATTAAGATTTTTAAATGACCTGATATATTAGATAAAAGTAAACAGAGTTTCCATGTATGTAGGATTTTTGTTTTTTACATCATACACCTATTTCCACTTGTGTAATTTCATAGCTTTTATAGCTTGTTCTATTATAATTACATTGGTAATGTTAAAGTAGAAATTTATCAAATTAATAAGTTAATGAATGAAACGTAGATAAATAAATAAATTGAATGGTAGTAAAAAAAAAGTATTAAAAATAAATATAATGGTAGCGAATTACATTCATTGCATTAAATTGATAAGTAGGCTAAATAATTTACAAATATTTGAAAATGTTCATTAGCCATTGGAAAGAGTCAGCATATTAATGCTATTGATCTCAAAAAGGCCAGTGGATTATGATTGATTAGTGGGATTGTGTTGTTTTTGCAGGGCCGCTGCTACGCTGGGGAGTGCAAGACGAGAGACAGTCAGTGTAAATATGTGTGGGGTCCACGTGAGTCACCATTACCTGTCAACAGCAAGATGATGATGATGCTCGGTCGTTTTTGGTCATACAGATAAGAGTAATGCAAACTGTTAAGGGTCTACTTTTATTTTTGTATACTCACAATAACAACAAACAACAACGTTGTGCTTTTGTAAAATAATGGCGCTTTCTGTCGATACGGTCTCAGTGAACTTGAGCGCATGACATAAATGAACTGAAACTCAGAGTATACTCAGCAAGAGTCAGCTTTGTTGACTTAATCTCGGCAGAAAAACACAGAAAACATCATCAATAAATTATTAAAATGTTAAACAGTCTCAGTTTTTTTCACAACACATTCATAATCATTACTTTTACCGGTGCGCTGTGATGAGCTTTATGTGTGCATTTGTGCGCTGATTAGGCTATATGTATTTTATAGGCAATTAAAGGCACATTATTATGATCAAAGGGTTATTAATATAAACGTGGGATTAGTCGACTAATGACTTAAATGGTGGATACTGTAGAGTAGATCTACATACAGTAAACTACCCTTAGTCAAACTAGCTTATCTATACTGAAGTTTATTTTCTTTTTTCCCTTGTTTCTCTCCTTTTTCCTGTGTTTTCATACAGAGGCTGCGAGTTCTGAGAAGTTCTGCTATGAGAAGCTGAACACAGAGGGCTCAGAGAAGGGCAACTGTGGTCAAGATGGAGACAAATGGATCCAGTGCAGTAAGCAGTGAGTTCAAAACCATTCAACCATTGTGGGAGGTCGCTTACTGGCCCAAGACTGAAGATCCACTTCTTTCTGGGATATTCTGATCTACATATGGCTCAGATGTTTTATTAGCCCGAACTTAGCTCCGCCCACAACATTTGAGGATGGGAAGTTCAGTCTGGACTTGATCCGTTGTGAAGCAAGTATGCCCGAACCAAAGCTGTTCGGACCAATCACATTGTCAGGGCGGGCTTTATACGATGATGGACAGATGATCAACCGTAACGTAATCATCCACGTCACCAAAGACCGCTTGGGTTGAATTCGTTTACAACAAAGATGGAGAATTTAGATGTGTAGATTCAGCCATCGCGTCTGTTATAGAAAATGTAGACAGCGCTTTCAATATAAAAGAGGAACAGAGAACCGCGATCAAGGCATTTGTCGATCGGAAAGATGTTTTTGCCATCGTTCCTACGGGATTCGGTCGATCCAATTGAGTGGAGAGGCATTTTCTTCCTGGTTGGGTTAAAACACGCCCCATAATCACAGCCCAATGGAGCAGTATCAGACTCACATTCTGACTAGCATCTGAGTATGACGACGTCAGGCTAGTGTTTTAATGTCCACCAGGAGAACATCGTGTGCTTGCTTAGACAAGAAATAGCACAAACCTGCTCAACAAGCTGCATGATGTGAACTGTAATTAATGTCTCAAAAATACTTTGTAAAATATATTTAGCTTCTTTCCCATATCTCTCACACTTTTAGGGCTGAGATTTGTTGGTAAATTTGAATATGCACATACAAAGAAAAAAAAATGTATTCGAACTCATCAGTCCTCTGCAATGGCAACACACACGATATTCAGCAGGAGTATGTGCTATTGGTGTGAATTGTAGTGTTATGTTCTTACAGTAGTGTCGCTGTGATCTCTATATTTGCAGTGATGTGTTTTGCGGGTATCTGTTGTGCACTAACATGGGCCGAATCCCACGGATAGGAATTATGAAAGGAGAAGTCACTCCCACAAACTTCAACCATCAGGGCAGAGTGATCGACTGCAGGTGAGAAGCTCAGAGGCAAATGCATGATCAATACGTTTTGCATCTATTAACAATATCTCACAGTATTCATTATGCCGCCAATATCAGAACACTCTGATCTGAACACACACACACATTGTTTTCTCAGCGGTGGCCACGTCTTGCTGGATGATCAGACTGATCACGGTTATGTGGAGGATGGGACTCCATGTGGTCCATCAATGATGTGTCTGGACAGGAAGTGTCTCCCTATCCAGGATCTGAACCTGAGCTCCTGTCCCAGCGGACACAACGGACACATCTGTTCCAGTCATGGGGTGAGAACTATCCCGAATACACACACTGAATACACGCCATGCTGATGTACATTTTCCAAAATCCATTTCTCATTATGCTTAGAAAGTAATACCTAATTAATGTGATTTGTATTTTATGCATTGTTTTGGCGATTTTAAATGTAAACAGGTGTGCAATAATGAGGCGGCTTGTACATGTGACACAACATGGGCGGGGACAGACTGTAGCATGCCTGACCCTCCAAAAGAGCCGGCCCCTAGTGAAGATGAGGAGCCCAAAGGTCTGTTTCTTTACTCCTACACAAACACATATGCTTACACATACATACCCAATGGGTAACACTTTACTTGAAGGGGTGTGCATAAGACTGACATGACACTTTCATAATCATGACCTCCACATGTGTCATGTCATGATTATGAAAGTGTCATGTCAGTCTTATGTACACCCCTTCAAGTAAAGTGTTACCAAACAAGGGAGCTCATTCATAAAACAGCAGCAGAAGGGATTTCAGTTTAAATAGTTTTTCAATTTTAAATGGATTCATGATCGACTTTCACAGAGATGCGGTATATTTGCGCTTAATGAATGAGGATCTGAAGTTGGTTTGGTTAGATTTTTTCACTTTAGTTTTAGATTGCACTATCATTTTGGAATGCATCATTCCTGAACAAAAGTATATATATTTTTTTTAAATCCCACTGAATCTAAACTTTTGAACTATAATGTACTTTTTAGTAGAAATAGTAATTTTAGTAATTTAGTTGTCTGTCCACTGTAGTGCATATATGCGTTTCAAATATACAAGTTAATACATGACACATTTCCTAAAATCATAATGTAAAAATAGAGACAAGCGCCACCCAGTGGACAGGAAAGAATAAATCAGAGAGAGGGAAACTACACTCTAAGAAAAGTCTGTGAAAATAGGGCACATATAAAGGAATTTTCCAAATAAATTTTTCACAGGTGTTTTACCCATATTTCGATTTATGCATTGCATTAAAGGAAATGTCTGTAAATTAACAGATAATATCCTGGCAGAACCATACTAGTACCTTTTTCTGTTTTTCTTCAGTTTTTTTTTCTTACAGTGAGGCAGGGCCATTACAGGCAAACATAGATATTCTACAGTTTAAAGATTTGGGGCCATTAAGATTTTTTTTTAAAAGAAATTAATACTTTATTTAAATCATCCTTGCTGAATTAAAGATTTAAAAATCTTCCAGACCCCAAACTTTTGAACAATGATCAGCATAATGAACAAGCATAAACAGGAAATCCAAAAGGTAATAAGCTTGTTCAGAAATGGTGACAAAAACTTGATGAATAAAATAACGTCTTTCTTGTTAAACGTAATTAAAATAAATGAATATTCAAATATTTGTTATTTATGAGCCCAAATATTTGAATACAATATTTTTGAAAAATGCCCATCCCCGAATGGAAATAACAAACCTCAAACATGGCATAAAATGATGGATCTTTTTAAAACACCATCTGTTTTGCTGGAACAGATATTTTGAGTTCTAGCTATTTAAAGCTCATATCCCGTTTCCCTACACTTGCCCAAACAGGTCCTAGTGCCACCAATCTCATCATAGGGTCCATCGCAGGGGCTATCCTGGTGGCAGCTATAGTCCTGGGTGGGACGGGCTGGGGTTTTAAGTAAGCACCAGTCTGCATGTCTCTTCGCTCTAGGCAACACTATACCTGCAGCTTACACTTATATGCTTTGAGTTTCTGCTGCAGATGCTGTACCAGGAGAGAAACGCTCTGCAGATGCCAACGGACTGAACAACTGAGAGCTAGGGCAAATAATGCAGAACTCGGAGCGTTAAAACCTGGTTTAAATTTCACTGCCGCAGAACCTCAAACCAGCTTGTAGGGCCCAGCTGAAATCCTGACCTGCATGTTAAAATGACACACAACTTCAGTTGTCATTCACCAAACTGGCATTCATAGCAAAGCTAGGGAGACTGAATCTACATACTGCAGAAATTCCCTTGATTGATGTGGGGAATGGATAGTTTAGAATCAGCTGAAACTAACAGCTTTAAAACTTTCAGACAACAATTTAATGAATTGTAATAGAGGTTCTGTGCAATTAAATGCACAATTAATTTCAGCTACAGTATTCTAATACTTAATAATTAGCAACTGTTTCTACGGACCTCTATCCATAACCCGTCCGCCATATTGAAACAGTCAAAGCCACTCCATGATACCTTGAAAGCAAGTTGATTGTGAGACTGCAACCTACAGTAGTAATTCACATTCATCAGTATCTATAGCTGCAATAATCTTTAACAGGTGATTTTCACAGGATTTAGTTTATCATTCATGTTAAAATTCTGCATATGGTAAATAAAAAGGAATATTGGTTAAAGCTCTGCTAAATATTATTGATCATCAGAAAACCCTACAGCCAGATTGAAAGTAGTGAATGCCTCAGGTTACGTATGTAACTTGGTCCCCCGAGAAGGGAACTAGACGGCACATCATGTAGTCCCAGGACGAACTCAGCCATCTTGAACCATGCAAGAACCGAGACAACAGAGGATGCCTCCCAACAGAAACCTCTTTTGATGGTATGTGGCTAGCTGAGGTCAAAAGTAACTACGGCACTGAACCGGCAGTTAAGTGGGTCTAAGTGGCGCTGTTTGCACCATTATATGAAAAGTTTTCAGATCTCCAGCCTGGGGTGGTAGATTGTCCCTTGCACTTGAGACAGAAGATGTTTCTGAACTGGAATCTCCCATGGAATGCCGTCCAGGAGAGATATCATGTATTTGAGAACCATACTTGAGTCGGCCAGAACAGAGCCACAATGAGAAATGGACTTGGTCTTGGCGCACCATCGCTAGAACCCCCGGAATTAGAGCCATCAGAGAAAAAAGGAATATAGGTGCGGCCTTGGCCATGTCTGTACTATGAAAGAGGAGCTGGAGGGGTAGAGGGCGAACCAGAGGGGACAGTGGCTCGTCTCCGTGGAGGCAAACAGGTTCACTACCTCTGCCATATGGACTCCACTACTTGTGGATGGAGTCACCATTCCCAGGGCCTCAGCCCCTGCCTCGACAGGATATCTGCCCCCAAGTTTGCATGCTTGCCTGAAAAGGGAATACAAACGCAGACCGCCCTGGTGATTTATGTAAGAGACTACCGATGTGTTGTCTGTGCGGACCAACACATGAAAGCCCCTCAGAAGTGGAATTAAGTGTTTCAAGTCCAAAAACACTGCTCTCATATCTAGTATGTGCCAATTAAGATGAAGGTCCCCCAAATCCCACTGGCTGGACGACCATCGAAAACCGCACCCCATCCTGTTAGAGAGGCATCCGTTGTTAAAGTCTTGTGACTGCAACACGCCCCAAGAGCCTGGCTCTTGTTCAGGAACCGTGACTCCTTCTGAAGTCATAGAGCACGTAGCCCATTGCACGGGACCCTTGCAACTCTGAAGGGAAGGGTTTCAGAGGGGGTTCAGAGGATGAAATCCCCTGCTTTTGAGCCAAAACTGAAATGGTCTTTTGTAGTTGGCCTAGTGGAATGATGTTGGCCACTGCCGCCATGAGACCTAACCGGCTCTGAACTTGAAGAACTGAGAGCTCCTTACCTAGCTTGATATCTTTCATAGCATTTAGAAACAATTCTACATGTGCGGGAGACAGACGTGCCTGTATTGTGGTCAAGTCCCAAACAACCCCAAGGAAAGTGGTTCTCTGAGCTGGAGAAAGCAATCTAAATGTTACGCCGATTGAGCCAGCATCAGCCAACCGTCTATGTAGTTCAGCACACAGATGCCTTTGAGTCTCAAAGGAGCCAGAGCACCATCCATGCACTTGGTAAAGGTGTGTGGGGATAGAGCTAGGCTGAAGGGAAGAACTCAATATTGGTATGCTTCGCCCCCCGAAAGTGAACCTGAGAAACTTCCTGTGTTCTGGCAGAATTTCGAGGGAAAGTAGGCATCCTTTAGATTTGTCACAAACCATTCCTCGAACAGGATTTGCAACACAACTAAACTTTAGGGTGAGCATCTTGAATCTGTATGTCCAAAGCCGTACGTACTGTACGGTTCAAGCCCTTCAAATCTATAATCGGATGCAAACCCCATCCTTTTTTTGGCACAATAAAGTACCCGCTGTAGAACCATAAGTCCCTCTCTGGAAGGGGTACACTTTCCATGGCCCCTTTTGCCAAGAGAGACTGTAGTTCTTGTTTAATAAAAACTTTCCTGACTCTCCCGACATACCACTGTAGCTACAATGCCATTGAATCGAGGTGAACGGAAGGCAAACCGAATCCTGTAAACTTTACTGAGATATGTTTCAGCACCCACTGAGATATGTTTGTTGGTTGCTATCAAAAGTCTTACAGAGGGATACTTTTTTTGATAGCACTAGCCTGCTCGGCGCCCTGAATCAGCGAACTGGCAGGGACCAACCGGGTGGGCCAATTGGTAATATCGCTCATGAGTGAAGATGGGGCGAATGGCCCGTTGGGGCCCTGAGGAAGGTCTGGCACTTGATGTCTTGGTGTGCACGGATCTTCCCTGGGAGGTGATGCTATTGGGGGCCAGGGCCCATGAATGTCAGGGCTTTTTCTTTGCCATCTTAGAGGATCCTGTCTGCCCAGAATGGCTGTGCCTTAGTGCGGTTCCCTGTCCCCTTTGTGAGGGGTTACGTGTCGCCACGTTGTCATTCTGTTCTTCTCTCCTATCACTGGGCCCTGGCCTGGAGCGGCTGGTGGATGGTACCGACTCCTGGATATGGCGAGGGATTCATTCCCTGAACACTGCTGCCAGTTTCCAGCCTCCTGGTATCTGTTGACTATGGTGTTGACAACATCGCCGAACAGGGCAGATTGGGGTGTTCAGGAGGAAAGCCCTGTCTGTTTCCTTAATCCCTGTGAGGTTTAGCCACAGCTAAATGAACCATAGCAGCCATTGAAGGGCCAATGGTGTAGACCATCTGCTTAGATGCACGGAGGGCGAGGTCTGTGGCCCTGCATAGCTCTTTAACTGCATTCAGGGCTAATTCCTCTTCATAATCCAATTCTTTAAGCAGGTCAGCCTGGTGACCCTACAAGGGGTCACCAGGCTGACCAATTATTTAAGTTGGTCAGCCAATTATTTAAATAATCACCAATTATTTAAGATTCTTTAAGCAGGTGACCCTACAAGGCTTGGTGTTTAAGGCAGGTTACACAGTCATGAAAGTATACTCGAAGTACACTTAAATGACTTTTATTTAAAAAATACTTTTGTGGTATTGTGGTATTTTTAATGTTACTGAGTATTTAAAAAAAAATCTGTATTTCTGAGTCTGAAATGTTGATGTTCCAAGATGGCGGACAAGTTGGCGTATCTTGAGTAGTCTAATGTGGTATCTAGAATAGATATCTATGCATACAAAGTTGAGACTGGTCACTAACTTCATACAATGAGCTTCATGTCCACAATCCGTTTTAAAGGGCTATTTTACCCCAAAATGAAAATCCTGTCATCATTTACTCACCCTCTTGTCGTTCCAAACGTGTGACTTTCTTTCCAGAGTGCTCTTTTCTACTAAATGAAAATTATATATAATTGTATAGTGATTTGATTAGATTACGATCCTTTATCTTATGATTGAGATGCATCATGAAATTGACATGAAATCAGCCGTAATGTAAAAGTAATTGGAGAGACAATTTGTCTAAAAAATTACATTTTGGATCATTTGTGCTTGACTAACAAAAAAATTGAAAAAAATAAATTCATCCAAGTTTGGGGGTTGTAAATGATGATTGAATTTTCATTTTTGAGTGCACTGTTCCTTTAAGTGATGAAGTGTGTGGGTAAGTAATGGAGGAGTGTGGCGAGACATCATGTTAACCATTGCACTCTCTTTCAGTCTTGTGTAAACTCAACATGAGAGCAGGGTATCAGCCTTAGACATGACACATGCTCTTCACTTCCCGTCTCCTTGCGGAGCTGCTGGCTGGCAAACCCACCTGGTACAGACAGCTCGCACTGGCACTGGTCTGCATGACCACGTCCAGAAATGCTGGCATTTCACTCTCGCACACAATTATCCCATCTACATGGGGCTGTCCAGGAAATGCATCATTTTGGATGGGCGTTCACACTGACAGTGATTCACCTCGTTCGCTGGAGGTTGCCAAATTACGGTAGTGCTAATGTAGATGTTTCTACTCGACTGCAGTGTGCGTCAACTGAAGGTGGATCCTCAAACCTCTTCACTCCCATTTACGCACAGTTTTCATTATTCTGATTAATTGCTAAGAATTACGGTTATTATATTATCGCCAATATTTACAAACCCCAATGCACAGCATAAATTATGAACTTCCATACAGTCAGTGTGTTACTGGCCACTGTTGTAATCTACTCGCGTCAAATGCAAAACACATATTTCTGTGGATGTATTGGATTTTTTCGTTGATGGGCCCGAAATGTCTTCATTTCAATTCTTTCATTTGTCACAAGCATATGCACACTTTGATCAGAGTGGAATATAGGCCTTTACCATTATAATGTTTTACGTGCCTGTTTATTGCGATTAAAAACAGCAGTAATGTCATCACATCTAGAAAAATATCAGATAATTTGACTAATAATTTGGTTAGCTTATGTCGTAAAATGCCATATGGTGTGACCAAGAACAATGGTATAAAAAATGTATATATTATTGCAATGTTTGCTCTCACATGTATTCAAAATGTTACACTTTACAATAAGTTAATGGCATTAGCTAATATTAATTAATATTTAATAATTAATAGTTATTAAAAATAAAGATTTTCGTTGTTAGTTCAAGTTAACTAATGTACTGTAGTGTCACCATTACTTTTTACTGGGTTGCTAGAGCACATTTTAGAGCAATTCAATTTAAAAACTAAATAAAAAACTTATTGAACAGTGTATATTTTTTTTTTACCAAATAAAACCAACATAGATACTTTTCTTTATCTTGGACACACTGATTTGTCACATCATATCACTCATGTCACCTCAAATCTTCAACTCTAACTGGTTGCTTAAAGGGGTGGTTGAGTATGATTTCACTTTTCTAGCTTTAGTTAGTGTGTAATGTTGCTGTTTGAGCATAAACAACGTCTCCAAAGTTACAACGCTCAAAGTTCAAAGCAAAGGAAGATATTTGCTTTTAAAGAAATCGTTTTTAAGGACTACAACAAATGGCTGGTAGGAACTACACGAGCTTCCTCCCGGGTTAGTGACATCACCAACCCTAAGATTTGCATAAACCCCGCCCCCGGGAACACACAGTCCATGTTGAGAAGAGGAAGAGCTGGTGTAGTCGAGCACATTTGTGAGTCAGCTCAACCTGTAGCATCCGTCTTTTCACATGCAATAGAAAGTCACTCTGTGTGCGTCTCACAACACAACAGTTCCTATACAAGCGATTTATAGATTATCATAACAGAATATGCTAATTGAAGATAGTTAACTCCACATCAGCAACATAAATTCATCAACTAACCATTCAGAAACGTCCTGTTGCTTCTACATGTTGTCACTTCTTCTTTGAGTGTGTGTCTGCGTGAGGTAATCGGAGCTGCTAACACACACACACACACACACACACAAGCTCTTGAAACCCCGCCCTCTGTGTCGGGAGCAGCAGCTCATTTGCATTTAAAGGGCCAGACACAAAACGGTGTGTTTTTGCTAACCCTCAAAAAATGAACATGCTTAAACATGCTATATAAAATTATCTGTGGGGTATTTTGAGCTAAAACTTCACACACACACTGTGGGAACATCAGAGATTTATTTTACATCTTGTGAAAAGGGCATTATACCACCCCTTTAAACCCTGCAATTTGCTGTCAGTGTAAACGCCCTGAAGAGCGACACCGCTTCAGTGGATCACATGAGCACTGAGTGTGTCGGTTCTTCTTGAAGAGGTGCATTTCCACTGAAATAGTCCATTGCCAGTCTATCGCTCTGTTTGTCCTTGTCCGCTGACGTGAGGCTTGTTCTCTGTAGCGCACATTGTTCTGCTTCAGTTCCACATTGTGTAAACTGTATACAAATTCATACCTAAACACCACATTTCAGTGACCATGTGCAGATACTAAGTTAAACTATAGAATTGGATTCTTCTTATTTGGATGCTGTGGAGCTGAAACAGAGTCTTGGTTACGATACATTTCTATCTCAATAACAGCAGTGTTTTGTTTCCCAATAACTTTTTTCTTCTTTCCTCTTCTTCCAAACAACAAGAAACGTCAAACGGAAAGGATATAATCCAAGTGCTTCTGCCATCTAGAAGCAACGCTCCAATCGCCGGAGCTTCTGTATTCTGGCATTATAAAAATATTATACATAATAGTAAAGAATTCAACCAACAATACCTTAGTTGTGTAGCTCCACCCCTTTTTATAAGCTCCACCCTCTCTCTCTCTCTCAGCCAATTTATTGACATATCCCACTCTCCCCCAACAGCCAATCAGATCATTCTTACATTACAGAAGCATGACATCACAACGGCCTTGCCTTGGCACCTATTTGAAGGTTTTGCTTGGCTAATGCCCATACTCAGCAGAATACACCATAATGACCTTTGAAGAACAATACGATCAATACGATCTCAGACCGGAATCATTTTTTGATTGTTTATTTGACAGACGTAATTGATAGCTGCATGGCTTAGCCTTAGAGAGACACGTTGAGCAGAATTATGGGATGGACTTGATTCTACATATAAATGGCCAGAGAAATCTATAGGAGTAGTTCATAGAAAAGTAAAAATTCTGTCATTATTTAGTCACCTTCATGTTGTCCCAAAACTGTGTGCCTTTCTCTCTTCAGTGTGGCACTAAAGAAGATGTCAAGCAGAATATGTTGGCAACTCTTTGTATACTGTGAAAGTGAATGGCAACAAGCTCTAATAAGGTTAAAATAGCACAGTGAAAGTAACATAGTGAACTCTGGCACAAGGCACAGAAGAACCACACGTTTACATTGAAGACACCAGACAGACAAAGAACTGAACCGAGCAGAGGGTGTAAATAGACCAAACACTGGAGATAAAGACATAAGGGTACATGATGACAGAATTTTCTTTTTTGGGTGAATTATCCCTTTAAGATGAATAGCATAATCTTTTCCCATTTTTAGGAATCTTCATGACTAAATTGTTATACTTTTTTTTTTTTTTTTTTTTTTACATTAATGTGTTAATATAAGTGAAAGTTGATTTCATATAAATCCTGTACATTTAATAGTGTGTAAGTTGTCTGTTATTGGTGGTGTTTCGCTCTGATATGGGCTGTGCAGCTGAATGTAACTGATCTATAGATGCTGTACGTCACCGTCCACTGTGAGTGAGGACGTGATTCGAAGCCAAAGATCTAAAGGGGGAAAATAAGTGAGTTTCCGATGTAAAACACAGCACTTTAAAGTGATATTTTCCACATGCTGGGGCGAGGTATTATTATGGGAACTGATCACCTGAAATTAGGGATGCACCGATACGATACCAGTCTCCGTACTGCGCTCGTAGCTACTCATAAAAATGCAGTGTGTGTAGTACAGTGTTTGTGTCTTATTTATATAGTTTATTTATATAGCACATTTCATACACTATGGCAATTCAAAGTGCTTTGCATAGAAAATAAACACAAAATAAAAGCAAGGGTAATTAAAACAGTTATAAAATTGAATTAAAGTAGTAAAATGATGATACATTGAATAAACATCTCATCTGTCTAAACACTGGTGTATCTTATTTTGCATATAGTTTTATAACACTAACACTGTGTCTGTAGTGTTTATTCGGCGCGGCTAAAGAGATCTATTGGACGTCTCCGACGGACCCGATTTTTCCCTAAAATCGGAAAGGAGGAGCTCTAGGACTGACTCACGGGGTACCCTCGGGTTCACTGCCCCATCAGTCCAAACCCCAAAACCCATTTGTTGAACCTCGAGTCTAATCACGTCAAACTCGCTCCTCCACCGCAGACCCAGGCCATCAGCATCGTTTCATCTCTCAATTTCTCCAATTAAGTGATTTATGTTTCTCTATTACCCAATTCTCAGTGCCATTTGAGTTCAGTTCAGAATCAAAAGTAAGAATACAGTGCAATCAGTCGGACGTAAAGTGGATAGAGTTATAAAAATAATTAAAAGAGATAAAACTATCATATTTTGTACAGCTGCGTGTGAGATTATCCCATGTGGATTGTACTGTGTCTGTGGTACTTAATATGATCTATGAGAAATACTAATATAACTCATAGTTAATATGAACTTATATGAAAAGTTACAAATGCAGTGAAAATACAGGTATCGGTATCGGCAAGTACCAAAGGTAAAAGTATCAGTATTGCTATCGGACTCGTTCTGGAATGGTTCTGTAAAAAGTGGTATCGGTGCATCCCTACCCGAAACACATGCAATAACCCTGATCAGTTCTTTAAATATACCTTGTTTCATCTGCTTCACGTAATTGTAATTGTGCACCCAATCTGTTGGTCAAGACATATTATTCAGACCTTATTATATGGCCTTTCTCGTCCATCTCCCTCAGCGGTCAGTGCTGCTAACCCTACTGGAAATGATTGCTTTGCTGCATGAATTCACTATAGTGGGCTTATTACTCCGCAAGTATGAAGAACGAGTGCCCAACCCCATAGCAATATGTATTTATATACAGAAACTGCTGTGCTATTTGTGCATGTCAGCTACAAAACTTTTATTTACTGTACTATGCAAAAGAATTTGATGCACAAAGTGAAGAGTTAAAATATTAAAGTATCACAGTTGACCCTGTTTTTTTTAGCCATGATATGATAGTTATGCTGAGCTTCACATATCAGGAAAAATAACATCTTTGTTGCTCATGATCCTTTATAAAAAGGAATGAATGTATTTCCTTATGTTAATAAAAAATAATTCCCAGGTTACTTTTTCACATTTGAGGTTTCAGGTGCGATTTTTGGACACTTGCCTTTTATATTTTCTGTGTTTTTCATCATCTCTGTTCATTAGCCTAAATGTTCCTCCAATTACCTGCTGCTGTTACTCTGAACTATAGAGAAAGTCATCTAAATAAACAATAAAATCAAGAGTATTTTACACCTCTGCCTGTGGTTTCTCATGTTTAAACTGGGATTTTTTCCCATGGTTTTAAGATGGTGAGCTGGGAATAGTCCATCATTGGTTAATGGTTTACACAGGGATCCGGAAAAACAGTAAACATGCTGTTCACGATGATCCAATCTTAAGGTAGGCTAATTAAATATTACTCTTGAGATTTTCAGAAACAAATGGCATTCCAGCCCGCCAAAACGGACAAGGTTGACTCTATACGTTGAAATTTGGCGTCTTGGGTAAACCCGTTGTCTGCTGTGTATGGGTCGAGCCTACAATAAATGATCTATGCCAGGGCAAGTCAAATGGCGGCCCCCAGATAATCTTCATCTGGCCCTCAAACGAGTTTTTGATGTTAAAAAACCCTCGCAGTCTGATATCAAAGTGCCGACTGTGCAAAGGTTGAGCCTTCGCCAACTGCAGGTAAAACAGCATTCAGAGGTGAGTTTAACAACGGTCCACGGCACGTGAAAGTAAGCAGTTACAACAGAGACTTATTATATCAGCGTTATTAATTTAGAGGATTTTATAAATTGAAGATTAACACCACATCAGCAACATAAATTCATCAACTAGCCATTCAGAAACGTCCTGTTGCTTCTTGAGTCTCTCCGTCATTGTCCGACTCGACTCCAGTTTAAACATAAAAGGCAGAACAGTTTCTGACAGTGCTTGTCTGTGTGAAGTAATCGGAGCTGCTAACACACACACACACACACACTAGGGCTATAGTCAAGACCACCTTTGTCGAGTCCAAAGACAAGTCCAAGACCAGGACTAGTCGAGTCCAAGTCAAGACCAAGTCCAAAAAGGTTTGAGTCCAGGACAGGAAAAAAGTCTTATGCATGACATTATCAAGACAATCATTTTGGGTTATTATTTGTTGATCTAAAAGCAAAAACAGTGTCACAACACCCAGGATTTTTAAGTATAGACATTCCCCTTGATATCATATAATCTTAATCTAAAGAAAAAAGAATGATAACATGTGGTGATACCTCATAATAGCAGTGTAAAGGCCTGTTCACACCAGGACAAATTTCGCACGCGTTATTCGCCGACGTTTAACGCCTCGTGACTAAACAAAGGGCGCCTATGTGAGTGTGCACACCGACGCGAAAAACGCCACGCATAAAAGCGTAATTTTTTAAAAACGCCTCGGGTTAGTTTTTTTTGGTTTGACGCGCCGCGTCAAAAACTATCCGACCAATGAGATTGGCGCTTTTGCTCACGTGTCTGGAGCTTCTGAAGTTACAGTAAAACACAAAACGGTCTTGCCGAGCACACAAACGTAACGGCGAAGAAGATGCGCCAAGTAGCGTCTACACACCATAGATATCCATAATAAAGGTTAGATGTCTCGTCCGCGTTGCTGGCCAATGGCCTTTATTATGGATATCTATGGTCTACACTGCGAGGAAGAAGATGCAAGGCCAGATGAATGTAGAGCCGCTGGTCTCGTTGGTGTCGGAACATAAAGAACTACATGACAAACGCGACAGCAACTACAAAATATAATAGGACTATTTCTGTTTTACATTAAGCGCCATCAAATGTCAGGGAATGAATTTGCATGTTCACTCGGCTCAACGTCAGCGAAAATCGCTTGGGTGTGAACACAAAAAACGCGCTGAAAAACGCTGACAAACAACGCGCGCCGATATTCGTCCCGGTGTGTACGAGCCTTAAGAACAGATACAAACACCAACCCACTACTATTACCACTGCTAGGTATAGTAGCCTACTGAGCATTTGAGCAACTAAATACTCGTACTTGTCAATGACGGGCACTACAATCTGCGGTAATCTGCGGAGGTTTCTGTGGAAATCTGGGGGTGCATACTACAATAATACGTTACTGGGAACATAAAAAAGACACCTGGACTCGGTCGAGACCAAAAGCCATATTTGGCAAGACCAGTGGCCGAGACCGAGACAAGTCCGAGTCCGAATACCAGCGAGACCAAAAACGGTCTCGAGTCCAAGACCGGACTCGACTACTACAGCCCTGACACACACACAAGCTCTTGAAGCTCCACCCTCTGTGTCGGGAGCAGCAGACTCTTTTGCATTTAAAGGGACACACACGGAAAAAATGCGTTTTACTGACCTTTAAAAAGGGACCCACTTAACATGCTGTAAAAAATTGTCTGTGGGGTATTTTGAGCTAAAACTTCATATTCACACTCTGGGGACAACAGAGACTTATTTTACATATTGTAAAAAGGGGCATTACATCACCCCTTTAAGAGTTTTTGGGCACATACCAAATTTGTTCAGTCACCTGAGGAAGAAGATACGCTGATGGGCCTTCTTCACGACTCCGTATGAACAGAACAGGTGAGGTCCTTGGTGATGTGAACATCGAGGAACTTAAAGCTGTTGACCTGCTGCACTGAGGTCCCATCCATGATGATGGAGGAGCGTTCATTATCCTGTTTCCTGAAGTCCACCACTAGCTCCTTGGTCTTACTGATGTTCA